TCTACTACTGTTTCTACTACTACTTTCTAAACTAATAGATGTTTCTGATATTTACTGGCGATTTAGTGCAAATTAAATGGGAAAATTTGTGTTGGGGAGTGTTTTATATAATATTTTTTAAAAAGTATTTTAACTAAATACTAATTTTAGTAAAATATTATGCTTCATGGATATAGGACGTAATGTTTTTGATTTTTTCTAAATAGAAATACTTAAAAAGTTCTCTACACATAACAGTATTGAGTAAAAAACTCGAGAATTTCACCTAAAACCCGCTTTACAGTAAAACTGCTGAAAACATCGGGAAAGAGCAACAAGTGAAGTGAAAAATGCCTTCAAGTCTTCAGTTCTGCTGGCGTACAAAGATAAATATAAGAGTATGCTTTTCATTTCAACATAAGTAGCTGTAAGCTTTAAGCTTTTGGCGTCAACTAATGTTAACTATTCGAAACCAGTGTCTAAATGGCACACTAAATGATCATTTGTGCTGAATCACAATACAATCGCTTTTAGAAACCTAACCCATTGTAGTCTTCCTAAAAAGCTTTACAAAGTCTCTCAAAAAGCTTCTCAAGCTTTCGAATTTATACTATATTTGGCTTAAAATTACACCGCGAAATCTTTGTTTATAATCGAATTTTGCAGTTTTACTCCGTATACATGCTAACCGTTAGAAATATAGATTTTAATGCAGAAAATTATAAAAGTTTTCACTAGCTCTGCAATGGTAAAGAGTTTGTGCTGGCAGCTCTTAATGTCATAGTATTTCTAAATACGAGCGGACAACAAACTATAAAGAAATCTTTGGAAATAGATTTTCTATTTGTGGAGAGCTTTTGAAAAGCTTTTACCAGCTCAGAAATGCTCAAGAGTTTGGGCGGGGAATTCTTTATGTTATAGTTTTTTTCTAAACACGAGTGGTCAAAAAGTAAATGTTATTTCGAAAGCTTTTGCAGAAATTTTCTTAAGCCTTAAACATTTTACGCCCTTATGAAAGTAACATAAAAAATTGGATTAAGAAATTTCGTTTTTAAACTTTTTTCAGAAAGCAACGTTACTAACAACAGAACTTAAAATGGAAGAAGGAAGTTCAAAAATTATTTTTGTGGCACATTTTTAGTTAAATTTCTTTTCCTATTGCCTTAAAGTGGGTTTGTCACTGCTGGATGAAAAATAACTATTCATATATAGAGATAAAGCTTACACGCTGTCAGAGCTTACAGTGAGCTTTCAATTGATTTAGGGTTTAGCCTTAATGTACGATTTAATATTTTAGTGATTAGGAAAGGATCTAAGTTACGACAGTGGAAAGTTGTATAAGTAAAAAATGTGTTTAAAAAATTATTAAAAAAAAAAAAAATTTCAACTAAGATTACGCATGTTAGTAAACACACTATAATACGTGATTTACTATTTATATTATTTTTTTTAAATTTCTTTTATATCAGTATACCATCGATGCGAAATACCGAATTTGAAACGTAACGAAAATACTTAAAAAATATAATAATAATTTTAAAAAAATTATAAATGAAGGAGAAACTACAGATATGACAAGAGAGGCATGGAAATGATATAGTTCATACACGTACAAGTTTATTTAGTAAAAGCTTCGGCAAAAAACAAAATTCTCAGCTTCCACAAAATATGTAGTGCATATAAAATAGTGTTTAATTGTGTTGTTGTATTTAGCAAATATAGACAAATTAGATTGCTTGGCAAAAATCAAACTTTGCACCAGAAACAACGAAAAGTTTTAGAGAAAACTAAAAACAAAATACAAAATCGAAATAAAAATGTATTAAAAATTAATATGGGTAAAGTTTTGTTGTTGCTACGCTTTAATTACAGAAACAAGTTGGGTTAATTTGTAACTAAAAACAGCTATGCTAACGTTTGAAGCATTAGCTGAGCAATCCGAAAAAATAATTAATACTAAAAGCTGATAGTGTTGGGGGAAAATATAATTATTTTTGCAACAAAATCAATTAAGGAGTCTACTGCACACAATTAGTGCTAAGAGTTGTTCAAATGCTACAAGAAAATCAAACTATTTCGCTAGAAACTAGCTTTCTACAAAATTTAGAGTTATAAAAAGGAAATTCTCAGCTTATACAACGCTGTGTGAGGCACATACTTGCATATTTCTAGCTCTGAGAATACAAAATACGAAAATGCTAGCGTTTGTAGGTGCAGAACTAAGTTAAAAATTTTGTATTCAAAGTTCAAAAAATTCAACACTAATTGTGCCTTATTGCAATGGAAATATTAATTAGCACTTTTTATTTACAACTATTTAATTTCTTACAAAATTTATGCAACAACCAACAACGAGAACCTTTCAGTGGTTGATTTTCGGTTCTTTACTTTCAGCTTTACAACTACATTCAACTATACCTCTATGAAATATTTTCAAATTTTAAGAAAAAACAAAAAAAAAACAGCAAAACTAATTGTAAAACAGAAAAGAAAGAAATACTCAAAATACTATACATAAGAGCGCACAACGTCAACTATGAAGCCTGGTCCCAAAAAATGCTTCGTCATTGTCTACTTTATGTTGTTTAGATACAAATATTTGTGAGTGTGTTGTTGTTGTTTTTAATATACTTTGTAGTGTTACCAACAAAATTCAAAGTAACTACAAACAAAATAAATTCTATTTTAGATTTTTAGAGTACAAAATATAGTGAGTGTATTATCAAAAAAAATGTACAAAACGACCAAAAGTCTAAAAAGCGCAAAAAATGGTAAATTATCAACCAGTTCAACGTGGCAGAAGTTTGGCAAAACGAAAAAAAATTATGGGCATGAAAAAAATTAATGTTCTATTTCTTGCCTCCAATTCCTTACGGGCAACCTGATATTCAACGTCATATTTCTGATCCTCCAATTTCAGGATTTTTGCATAATAATCCTGTATAACTTTTTTAAGTGTTTCTGCGGGCAGAAAGTGCAATTAAAAATTGAGAAAAACGGTTAATACGGAACGTTTTTGTTTGTGCCGTTGTGTGCTAGGTACGAGTTGTGTATGCGTATTTCTGTGTATGTGTACATGTGCGTGGGTGGTGCCATGGATGAAGGGCGAGTGGAGGTAATGGAGAGGGACAGAATACTTTTGCTTTATTTAATATTTATATTTGCCAATAATTTATATATAAAAAATATTTATTAATAAAAAACGTAATATATTTTTGGTGTCGCAGATTGAGGCAGGTTTGTACATAAAAAAAAATGTAATAAAAAATAATAACAAATAAATTGTGATTTCGGGAGTGTGTGGGAAATAAAAGAGGTGTGTGTAGCTCCAAATGTTTTCATATGCCTAATAAATGCCACAAATCTAATAAAAAGAAAGATAAGTAATTTTATGAAAAAAAAAAAAAAACAAATTATGCTGTTAAAAAAAATATGTTGTGGTATATTAAAAACAATTGCAGATCGCCTAGTTAGGCTAGCTGAGAGTTGTTGTACACATGCTTGTGATTGCCGAAAATTTTATATTTCAATCCGATTTATGTTCGGAAAATGTAGCATACATTAGGATGAAAGTTTTTCATAAAATAAACTGGGTGTTCCGCTTTAAAAACTATTTTTTAATAATTTTTTTTTTATTTACTTTTAATACTACCATTTAGTATTTGTAAAAAAAAAAATTAAAATTCTATACTTCACACTTATTCACGGAAACGATAGCATACATTTAGGATGTATGATTTTTTTTGAAAAAAACTGAGAGTAATTCTTTGAAAACTATTTTTTCACAAATTTTGTATATACTTTTAAGAGCGATGTGAAAAATTTTTTAACAGAAAATTGATCATACTTCATGGCGGTTGTTCGAATTATGTATATATTATCTCTGCGAAAACATTACTGGACGTTGGAAAGTTGGTGCAATAGGCATATGGTCGCTGCGATTAACTGTTTTCTTGCCAAATTTTTCGAACTAACTTTGGTAGACATAGTCTATGAAGGGTATAACGGCAGACAAATGCTTTATTATCACTTGCATATTTTAAAGAATACAGACTTTGTCTAAATTGGAGCAAATATAAGGTTACCCATCTTCAGCAAAAAAAAATATTTTCTAAGTCAAATAAAAATTCGTCAAGCTATTGTCCCCCTGACAAATGAATTCCGTATTTGGTATTTAACGGTCTAAAAATGAAATATTTTTCACGTGCACTTTTGTATAAGTTTTCGTTTTCGTTGTTGTTGCAAGTTGTTGTATTGAACTAGAGACGAGTGCAGTAATTTCAATACGCATTATAAAGTGTATTAAACATCTGATAAGACACTACTATATGTATATTCATAGTATGTATGTATATAAACAATATAAGTAAATTTGTAGAAATTGTGTGCAAAAAACGTGAGCATTAAAAACTTGGTGAGTGAGTTGAGTTTATAGTAAAAAAATGTATATAAATATTTTTATAAGTATTAAAGTGTAAAATAAAGTAAAAAATATATAGAGAGAAAGAGATAGAGAAAGTGTTGTATTAAAAGTTTAAAGTTTTCAAAAGCATTGGTTTAGTGTTTCTAGTTTTGTTGTTGTTGCTTTTGTTGAGTATTTCATTTATACAAAACAGATTAATTGCGGCATTGCAGAGACCCCGCGGCGCGGTCGGTGTCGCTGCATTTGTCGTTGGCAGTCGGTAACTAAATTACAACAAAAGTTTTGGGAAAAAATTTGGATTGTTTTTTTGGGTGAATTTTGTGCTGCCACTGGACAAGCGCAGCGCACAGCGTACCGGCGCGCAGTGTGCGTTTAAGTGTATGTGTGTGAGTTTAAAAAACTAAACTGCTTTAAATTGTTGTTGTGAATGCACGCATTAAGTGTTTGAGTTAAAGTCTGGCAAAGAAACTTTTTTTGAATTATTTTCAATAGTTTTTGATTCGGCGCAGTTAAGTGCTTGAAATATACTTTGTGTTTGCTGATATACTTTTTTCAAAAACGAAAAAATAATCAAAAGTATGTTTTTATATGTGTGTACCTCAACATCCTTGCGCTTAACAACATACTCAAGGTCATATTTCTGGTCCTCCAATTTACAAATCCTGTCATAGTGTTGCTTGATAAGATTTTTAAGTGTTTCTGCAGATAAGTGGAAGTTAATGAAATGCGTTGTTTTCAACAAAAATTAACACAATTTCATATTTCTATTTTATTTTTTAAATTTTTTGGGGTTTTATTTTGGTGCTTAAAATAAAGATGGTATGTACAACAAAAATATAAGGTATAAATAATAATGCTATGGGAAAAGAAAAAAATATGGCATGAAAATGTGGGAACAAAAAGTATAAATTGTTTTAAACTTTTTAGCGATAAGGGCAGATTTTATGCAAAAAAGGGATTTCTTTAAACAAAAATATAAAACATTAATCTAAACAAAAATATATTTAAAGGATATTTAAAAAAAATCTAAACAAAAATTTATGAAAAATTTGCTTTTTTTATAATAAATTTAACGAATTTCGTGTCAGGCCAGTAAAATGTGTGCGTGAGTGCTGCTGAGCATGTATATGTGTGGGTGTGCGTGTTTTGAATATTTTTTATACAAAATGTGGGTAAATGTATTTGCTAATTCTTGCTAACTATACCAGATTTTTTATTTTTTTTTTTTTTTTGAAGAACTTTGATTTTTTTGACTTTGCTATGAAATTTCGATTTTGATGTCTTTGAACCTACTACTTTCTGCTAATTTCTTTACTTTTTCAAAAACCTTGAAATGTCGGCATGTGTAAGTATATAGAAATAAAATCAGATATGTTACCTTCGCTGGCGTCGCTGAGATTTCTGGGGCTACCGCAACGCTCTTCAATGATGCGTCTACGTTCGGCGGCTTTGCGTTCCTGTTCCTTCTTCAACTCCTCAGCGGCTTTCTTACGGAGCAACAACTGCGTATTGGCAAAGCGAAATGCATTTATGTTATAGAAATTCTTTTTTATCAATATACTCGTAATTTGCAACTCACCCTAAGTTTCTTCTTCCTTTCTGGTGTCATGAAACCTTTCTTGGCCTTCTTAGCCTTGGAGGCTTCCTCCATACGCTTGCGCACCTCAGCACGCTTGCGCTCAATCTCGGCCTGTTTAGCCTTCTTTGCCTACAAAATATCCAACATACAAGATATGTGTGTTTAGCACTGTGCACCGTTAAACGCCGAGTATGAACACATGAACACAACGAATGAGACAGCAACCACATTGCACTTCACAGCGTGTAAACAAGAAAACGCACGCTACAGGGCACCAAAACACATATTTGTGTTTCACAATTACACACTTTTCGAAACGCTGGCAACACTTAACGTTTCTACAAGGAGTTAGGAATTCTGTGCGAGTACCTCCTCTTTGGGATCAAGTGGCTTGGCAGGCTTGGCGGGAGCGGCCGCGGCCGCGGCAGCTGGAGCAGCGCCTGCTGCGGGTGCAGCACCTGCGGCTGGTGCGGCCGCTGCTGCTGCTGGTGCTGCAGCCGGTGCAGGCGCTGCTGCTGCGGGCGCTGGTGCGGCGGCTGCGGGTGCCGCTGCTGGTGCGGGTGCTGGTGCATCGGCTGCTTTCTTCTAAAAGACGCAGATGGAAAGAAAAGAAAATTATTAGCAAAAAATATAGATTTCTATATAAATAAGAGCAGCATGCAATAATAAGTCGTAAATAACGGTGTTAGGCGTGGCGTAAAAAGTAGATAAATTTTTTGGCAATTAATTTGAAAATACTATGCAGCTTTACAAAGTCAGTGCTGCATTAGTGTTGCAATTTTATTAAAACATCAGCTTATACTTATGTGCCAAAGCGTTCGAAATATAGCTAAAAGCAGAGGTACAGAATTAAGGCTTCAGAAATGTGCAAGCACTAGCTTGGCAGCGCCATAATTTTGAACTATAATATTCACCTTCGTTGTGTCCATATGCCAATGCTGTATGTGTCATATCGTTAAGCGCATATTTACTGTAAATATTGAGAGAGTAAAAGCAGACATTAATGTTTTTTCATATATGGCAGTTATCGGTTGCTCATAGAGCGATACTCACCTCACCTCATCATCAGCCATTTTGGATTTGTGTTTTTGGATTTAGTAACTGTAATGAAACAAAAAAAAATAAAAAAATTTAATAAACCCTCAAACACGAATTAATAAAATATTATTATTAAAATTAGGAAAATATACAGAAATATTAAACCTAATGGTAAGAAAGGATTACAAGCTACTATGACCATCGAGTCCGATATAATAGTATGAAAGTATCAATAACATATATTTTGTGACGATCAATATAATATATATACTATTAAAAATCCATTTCAAGTTTTGCTGGTTAAACTTTTCAACGTTTTGAAAACATTCTCGAAAGACTTTTCCAACGATTTTTTAATTTCTATCATCGAGAGCGTGCTATAGAGAAAGTTTGTCTCCCTTAACAGCTTTATTTATTTACATTGTGCTCTCCATTATTATCTTTACTTTTACACTAACAGAATAATAAACAAGTTAAAAGACTTCGATCAAAAAAAAGATCATAAAAAGTATATATAGTCAGGATTAGAAACATACCAGTTATTTAATATTTTTGACTGACAAAGTCATTATGAAAGAAGATACGACCCATTTTGTTTTTTTGAAAACCACACAAATATGTCAAGAACGTTTACATTTTGATATTTATTTTTTCCTCTACACAATCACCTTCGAATAAATGACGATTCACTTGACCATCATTTATCATGACACCCATACAAACATACATACATTGATACTATATATTCTCTGAATAGAATATATTGAATTTGAACTTGTATATACGTTATATATAAAAGATCAATGGCACACGTTAAGTTGATTTAGCCATTTTAGTCTGGAGTTATGGCTGAGAACTAGCTCTTAAGTTTTTGCGATATCAGTCTGAAAATTTGCACACATCCCTTGCTCCCCAAGAAACTACTCATTTGTCGGAATAACCGATATCGGACCACTATAGCATATAGCTGTCATATAAACTGATCTATCAAAATGCAGTCTTTGTATGGAAAGCTTTCTTATTATTAGAGATATCTTCAAGAAATTTGGTATAGATAATTAGCTAAGGCAACGGTACAGTCTCCAAAGAAATAATTTATATCGGTTCACTATGGTATATAACTGTCATACAAATTGAACGATCAAAATAGAGATAAGAATCTTTTTACCCTTTTATGCGATAAGGAATGCACTTTTGAAGGGTACCAAATAAGCAATTAAATAGAAACTATCCTTGTGATCATTTAATGGAGTTTAAAGTTTAAAATAAATATGAAAAGTCTCTCGATTAATTGCTGTGTCGAAGTAGAACAAAGAAAATAAGTGTAAAGAAGACAACGTAGTATAATTGTCATCAACTTCCTTAAAATTACTATTTTTCAAATATCAATATCCATTTGTAAACTTAACTTTAAATTTTTTAATTAAAGTTACAAGTTTTACAAATTATCAAGCCTGTTTTTTTTTTGTATACACACATACATATGCCTCTAACATACGCAAATATGCTCTCACATACATATTATTCATATCTTTCGCTGCTAAATTGCATGGGTATGGAAAAACGAAAGCAGCTGTCGCTTTGATTTGTTTATATCTTATACATGCATATACATATCAACACCTCCTCCCTACCATTTTAGTATTGGAACGGAAATTTCGAATTTTCCACGCATCATTTCTGAATTTAACAAAGCAAAAACAAAACTATGTAGCACTTTGGTGCGCACAACTTTTTTACCAAACCGTATATGGGCGCTGCTTGGCACATAAGCAACGCAAACAGCGAGTAAATGCTAGCAGGCGAACAGCCAAGCGGAGGTAACGTATACGCCACGGTGTGCGCCACTCAGTCATAAAAACGATCAGACAAAGAGTATACTGAGTATGTGCGTGTGTCTAAAATACACACTTAGTTTGGAGTATGTATTTGTTGACACACATACATTTATATATATCATACATATAAATTTATAGGTATATATATATGTGTGTGGTTAGTAATAGGTTGATAAATACGCGAGCAGCTGCGCGATTGACTCATTCAGCCATTAATTTGCTTTAAATCTGTTAACAGCCAAGCGTGAAAGAGAAAACACTAGTGTTGGCAAAAGGTGTGTGGGCGGCATGTTGCAGTTGTATTGGTCGCAGCGCATAAATAAGTCGCAATCATATCCAATTTCAAGTGATTACGGCGCTTATATACAGTGACACATATACGTATAAACGCACTCTTAGTTTTAATTTTGCTAACTTCTCTCYTTCTTTTCATTGCACTAATTACAACAAATTCTCTCTCATATTGTTTGTTAAACTAACGGAAATTCGTATTGAGTGCAAATCCCCACTTTTGTTGTTGTTGTTATATTTAAATTGTTGCATTTTAAATCAAATAGCAAAAACAGGCACATATTCGTTTAAACGCATCTGATTAGAGAAGCCAAAAACGTGTTTGTGATTAAAAATAAAAAAAGTTGTTTTCAATTAAATTGAAGATTGGTAAATTTTCGTTTATTAAAGTGCAAAAAAGTTGT